CAAGTGAGTGCACCCGGATTGATGCAATTGCCTGGCGGAGAGCGATTGTATCCTCATCCTCTTGTGAGCGCTCTTGCCTCTTGGCATAAGGTGCAACAGCATCGGTTGCGGGGCGCTTTCGAAGCGGCCCGGGCCGTGTTGGGGCGCACTCCTCTACATCACAGAACGCAATCACTGCATTGATTGCGGCAATCCGGCGCTGATACTCCGCTTCGATGGTGGCGCCTGGCAGAGTCAGGACGGTGTCGATCAGTATCATGTGCTGCGGTGTCATATTTCTCTGAAAGAGGCCACGGTTTCGGGAGAGGTGATTAAGAAATGAACGCTCTCCAAATGCTAAAATCCACCCAATCATTTCAGCCAGGCGGATACACGGTGGCTAGGCTGCAAATCAAGGCGACCAGCCATTCGCTCAGTAGGACTAACACCATAAAAAAGGCGAAAAAGACACTTTCTGGAGAGACTCAGGAGTCTGGAAAGATTCAGTAGTTTGTGTTGGAATTCGTGGCATACCAGTCTAACTGGATTCGGTAGTCATATAAGCTGATGTGATACATCATATTGGAAGCCGATACCCCGCTTCTTACAATAAGGCTTATACGCCAGGTCGCCCACATCTGATTAGAATCAGGAAAAAGTCTCCTTCATATCATTATATTGTCTTCTATAGTGATGCTTGTAGAAGCTTCTCCCCTACATGCTTATAGCCATAACCTCAACAGTCTGAACAGACTCGGTAGACTGGAAAGACTCAGTAATCTGGAGAGACTCGGCATTCTGAAAAGGCTCTGCAGTCCAGAGAGACTCAGTAGTCTGGAAAGACCGAGCAGTCCAAAGAGACACGGCAGCCTGAACAGACTCGAAAGTCTCAAGGGACCGATAGCCCGGAAAGACTCAGTAGGGACTGCCAAGTCTCTCCAGACTATAGGTCTGTTCAGACTGCCGAGTCTTTCCAGTCTAGCAAATCTGTTCAGACTACTGAATCTTTCCAGACTCCTGAGTCTCTCCAGACTACTGAGTCTTTCCAGACTATGGGTCTCTTCAGACCGCCAGGCCTGTTCAGACTGCCGAGTCCCTCCAGACTTTGGGCCTCTTTGGGCTGCTGAGTCTGTTGAGACTACTGATCCTCGAGGTATGGACAAGAGGGAAAGCCCTTAGTGGAATTTGACCCCATAAACGATGTGGCTGATCAGATGGATGGACCAGACGGGAGCAGGGATACCGCCTGTACCCCAGACAACACGCTCAAGTATTGACTAATCACACATAATAACGAGGTGGAATTCTCTGTGTCAGGTGGTGGAAGAATGTGCTGCAGTTGACAAGGTGAGGCCAAATCTTATTAAACTTGCTATTGTCAGGAATGGGGCATAGCCTCATATTTACACTAATAGTTCAATGCCATCCACTGCCCATGATATACAGTACAGAAGAGCCATGTAAAAGGCTCTATAGAGCATTATTCTATAGCAGCAAGGGAATATAATGTCTCTCATAATCATTGCTCTAACATCTTATTAGAGGAGCCATCCATAGTTGTTCATCTGGGTTTTAAGCAGGTCAATTGCCAACTCCTATGTTTGGTCGCTTTTAAAGTTCAACAATGTACTCTATGGCAAACACGTGTTGACCTCAGGATCAAGCATCACCTTGATCCTCTGCATGGTGTTTAGCCCACTTTATTAGCTGTCTGGAAAGACGTCGGATCACAGCGCCAGCAGTAAATCTAGAAGTCGCTGGTGCATGTGCAATATCAGTGCATGTGGGAGTCAGGATTATGTCTAATGGCCATTTATACATACAACCACAATTTTCTAGAAAATCTCCTAGGCATGTGCTAATAAGAGTTACTTTCAGCATGTAGATACTATGCTTTGAAGACCAATTAACTAGTGTTCATTATTTTTGTAGACTTAAGCCTAAGAACCTTTTCAATAATGCTTTTTCATAATGTCTGTGTAAAAACTTAATCTACTATCAAACTATTTTGATTACTTTTCACATTCTATGTAGTGACCACAACTCTTTATTAATAAATCTCAGAAAGACACCTTGTACTCGAACATATTGGCTATTCTCTCTGGTGATTCGTCAATTAAGGATTGATGTCCTTGCACGCCACATCCTCCAAGGACTTCCTAATTGGCACTGGATAGATAGTTTCCTGTTCTTGTTAGTTCAATGCGGGGTTGAAATGATAGTTGTTGGTAGTCAACGTACTAATTGCTGGAGCGTCAGTAGCCATTGTTCTACAGAGTCAGAGGTTAAAGTGTATATCTGGCCATTCTTTCTGGAGCAGAGTATCATGAAGACATCTGAATCACATATTGTCAAGACCTCGCGATGAAGGCAAAACTTGTTGTATTCGAGATATCTAACCTATCAAAAAGGTGCAGAACCGACAGAGAGGGAAGGAGAAGAAAACAAAGAAGACAAAGAAACTCGATGTGCGACTTGACAAGTTGACTAGAAGCGAGGTCATGTGGAAAGCAACCACGTGACCAGTCAGGTCTGCGCCAGGGCCTGACACATATAATGGAATATTCCTTAACTTTCTTAAATAACCCCTTTCTGCGGCGGTTTCTTTGTTGATTCTTTAACCTCTGGCTCTGTGATTGGCCCTTTTTGGGAATTTGAGTCTTCTGGGTCATCATGATTGGCCACTAGCAGCTTCTGGATGATGCTGCTTGCGGTTAAGGGAAGTAGAGGATAAGGAGATGTTAGCAATTGGAGAGCTCTGGTATTTATATCTCTTCATTATCGATCTCTATTCCAGAAAGTGTCTTTTTCGCTTTTTTTATGGTGTCAGTCCTACTGAGCGGATGGCTGGTCGCCTTGATTTGCAGCCTAGCCACCGTGTATCCGCCTGGCTGAAATGATTGGGTGGATTTTAGCATTTGGAGAGCATTCATTTCTTATCACCTCTCCTGAAACCGTGGCCTCTTTCAGAGAAATCATGGAGCCTACAAAATGGGAGCAAAATTGCCTCCTTTTCTGCGAGTCCTTCGGAGCTTGCGATCCCTTTTTGAAGCTGGTACAAGTCTTATACCGCGGCAGGTTTTGATGCGATCCATTTTGCCGCAAGCCATTCCTGTTTGTTGGCGAATCTACAACAGTGTTTT